ACCGGCAGCGGTGTCGAACAGGTCCCACATCTCAACATTCGAGCGCGACCGCAGCACCACACGACCCTTAGGCACTGAGAATGTGGTAGTAGGAATACATGTCAATGTTTGACCCACCATTTCTAGTCAATTGCACATTCGCACTGCTGCCGAGTACCGTCTTTGTTTTTGATAGGGACCCAATGGCGTGCGGGGCAGTCATCTCGCAGCTGCAGAAGCAGCTTCGCCGTTCGCGGGTCATACAGGGCATACCTGAAGCGATCGTGAAAGCTGGTAAGCACCACATCACGGCGGTAAGAAGAGGAGGCTGAACCGATTGGGGTTTTTGAGATGAACAAAGATGACGCCGTCCAGGGCTCGCATGGTCTTGATGAGCTGCCTGGCGGTAGTGCTCGTCTGTTCGGTATCCGCAGGGGTCTCGACAACACAGACTCTTTCGTGCAGCATGGTGCTTGTCGCCAGGTCGTACACAGAAAAGGTGGTTTGGCTGCTCAGGGTGCGCGTACACGAAAATCAGAACACCGCTGCGCTGCGTTGTGTGTCGTGTCGTGTCGTGTCGTGTGTGACAGTAACGTACTCGTAGAGGATGAGCAGCTCGTCGATGTTGAAGGTGAGAATGAGCGGAGGAATCTTGGGCGAGTGGCTCTGCAGCTGTGGCTCCTCGTCTGTATCCGACTCTGGTGGAGTGTGCGGGGTGAACATGTGCAAAGCCCGGCCCTGCAGCGCGTCCCAGAACGTGGCGCCGCCTTCGATCGAGCCCGTTGTTGCTAGGAGGGCCGAAGGGCGCTGGCCTCCGTCACCGCTTGACGACAGGGACGTAGAGGATGAGCTCCGATTGAAGACCAGTTGTGCCGCAGGAAGGGGCGGCGGTCCTGCATTGGCGGGTGTGGGTGTGACGTAGCAGGGGAGCTGTCGCGTGACATGGTACAAATAGTCTCCGCGTCGTCCAAACGTGCGCAAGGCGGCTCCGGTAGCGAGGTCGTACACGCGGATGCCTTGGTAGTAGTTGCTCTCGTCGCTATAGTCAAACTCGCCTTTGATTTCTCTATCAACCCGCTCCTCGGAGTGCCGCTTCACAGCGTCGCGCTGTACGTGATCCATAGGAAGTGGTGGCGAGTAAGCAACCACAGCAAACGCAAGCTAACTTAAAGGCCGAGCGCATTGAAAGGGTCGCTACCATTCTCTCTTCGACGCCAGCGGTGCTGATACCGAGGTTGTCGGCGCTTGTGAGCTCGGTAAGGTCCAACGCGTCGAACAGGTGCTCCGGCAGGTGATTGAGCTTGTTATTGTCGAGTCGCAGGATCCTCAGCTTCGTCAGCGCGGTGATACCTTCGGGCAGCTCCCGCAGATTGCATTCGCCAAAGTCGAGTTCCATCTACTCGCAGGCATCCCCACTCCAACTGTTAGGCTGGCCAGCAGAGATGGGGAGTCGCGAGTGATGTACCAGGTTGACCAAGCGAGTCACACATCGCGGCACTTCGCTGATGCCCGTTTTGTACAACCGCAGGTTCTGGAGCTTTGTCAGCAAACCTGCGGACATGAAAGGTGAGGAGCAAGAATAAAGTGCAGAGGCGAGCCGGCTGATCGTTGTACCAAGTTGATCGGGCAAAGGGGACTCATTGATGGGGTTCTTGGAGAGCCGCAAGAAGGTCAGGTTTGTAAGCGCGGCGATGACCGGAGGAATAATCGGGATGTTGTTGTCGCCAATATCCAAGAACTCGAGCGTCTGGAGCGTGTGTGTGTGTGTGTGTGTGTGTGTGTGTGTGTGTGAGAGAGAGAGAGAGAGAGTTAGACCTCCGAAGCGAAGTGATATCACAGGGCGGTGACTTGGGCAAGTGAAACCACCGGGCAGAGAGAGGAGCACGTACATCCTTGAGGTGAGTGATTGCAGTAGGATAGGACGCGAAGCGGTTGTTCGACAAGATCAAAACGCGGATGTTCGACAGCCGTTGAAACACTGAGTCCGGGATCGCAGTGATTTTGTTGAACCTGAAGGGGCAGAGCAGGAGAAGATCAGCGGATTGATCGACTAGGCACGCTGAAATGCGGATGGCTACCTGAGGTCGAGGTGGTGCAAGACGGGCTTTGAAGTCCATCTGCTGTGGCGAGGAAGTGTTGCCACAAGCTCTGCGCACATGAGGAACACAGACCAAGAGATGAGACATCGGGTGGAATGGACTGGCCGTTCGGCTCGGGGCAGCATTACCCGAGGGGAACTCGGTGAACTGACAGCTGTTGAGCACAACCTTGTTGGTCTCTAGCGGATACGGCTCCACGATGTGCTTGTCTTCCTCTCCTTCATACGGCTGGTACGACGCTGTGTATATAGCGGCGGTTAGCCATCGGCGGTTTGTGTGAAGGGACCAGGGAAGAAGGAGGTGCATGGGTGGTACTATTGCTGCGGGTAAGAGCGATGGGCGTGGTGGGCCAGTCGTTTCGGAGCGAGTGATAGAGGTTGGTGTGGAAAGTGCCCACTACCAAGTGCTGCACCTCCGATTCGACGTCATCGGCTTCCATGTCGTCCCTTCTCCTCTTTCTAGCAACAGGGAGGGTGTTGCCCAGAGATGAGTGCAAGGACACGCGATCAGGCCAGCAAGGTGGGATGGGATACCTTTCAACTCGGAGGTGGACGGGAGGGTTGAGCGAAGGGATGATGTGCAGCGGCACCGGGGAGCCGACGAACTGCAAGCGGCTGCCGCCAGGCAGGCCCAAAGGCGCCACTGGACCTTGGCGCTCGCGAAAGAAGTCCCATACCATGATCTCGGGTGAAGTGCGCTCCACCATCTTGAACCCAATAAGGAACGGCCCGCAACTCTCAAGCTTGCAAATCTGGTGCGCACATTCGATTGAGAAAAACTTGATTCTGCAGAAGATGTGCATTTGCAGCCACGCAGGTGCGCGAACAAATGTTTGTGTGGAAGGCGCACCTTGTGGCCAGACAGCGTCACCACTTGCAGATCTCCACTCTGCCAGGCCCTGGCAAATAGCCGATCGTTGGTGACGTATGCTCGGGCAGTCTCCTTGCGCCGCACATCGCGCCAATCCTCAAGCTTGCGGTCTTGGGCAAGCAGATTGCGCCACAAGTAATCGCCATCTTGTGCGCCGACTGCGTAGAAGTGGCGGCAGACCAGAGTAGCTCGGCCCAAGTCAGCAGCGGGCAGGAAGGAAAGGATGTGAAGAAGTAGAAAGGGTTCTCCAAGCACCAGCTCCCGAGGCAGGGCCGATTCAAGCTGGCTCTCGACCTCGCTTGCTTCCATCTCGATCAAAAACTGTTTTCCGTCCATTTCTTTCGAAGCAAAGAAAGGACTCCAACTCGAAGATAGATCAGCTACACATTAGCAT